CAACCACCACAACGATGTTTAGTGCAGAGTTGGCAAGGCCATCAAAGGAATGTTCCCGAGTGTGTGTGTGTGTGTGTGTGGGTGGGGTGGGGGGAGGGTAAGGCGGTTCTCAGCGAGATATAGTCAGTTGCAGGAAACATACGTCGACGCCGGCAGTGCTAAAAGTGCATTACACTGCGGCCGCATGAAGTATGTGTACGCTCAAGTATCCTGTTTAAAGAGTATTTTTGTGAGCTGAGTTGAGTTATGTTTGTTATGCGGTTATGCCATGCCTTCTGCTGTTCGTAATGAACACATCTTGAGATGTGTTTTTGAATAAACAGAGAACGGGGGCCAGCCGACTGACTGCACTGGCCAAAGTGTGCTTTTCATGCTGAGCGTCGGAATAACAGACGAGAGATCGCCGATTTAAATCTGGCAGCAATTTTAAATATCTAATTTATATGTTATTAATCACAATGAAAGTTTGTTACAAGTAGAAAATAAAACCAAGCCAGCCAAGTTGGGTATGTTACATAAATATTAATGTGCCATATTTAATGTTAATCTAACTATGAAACTCCGGGACATGCGTTCCTAGCACTCACATCATAAAATTGTATAAAAACTTATTTAAAATAATTTGCTGATGTGAATACCGGCCTCATTCCTTGTACTTGTACGAGTCCCATACTGAGATAGAAAACATTTAAAGTTTTTCTTATTTGAAAAAAATACATATATTTTATTCAGAATTATTTCATTATCGCTTAAATTTTCATTAAAAATAAAAGTCAAAGTCTTATAAAAATCTAATAAAATATTTCATATTTTCCTTCACTTTCTTTTCATTCTTTTAATCTTGAAGCAAGCAAACACAACACACACACACACACACTTGGGCAGAGCTGCGTCTGTATCGTGTGTGCATTTAAAAAAATCGTATTAAAAAGAGCTTCATTTCCTATTCAAATCGCATACTGTTTTGCTCAGTGCATTTCATGTTCGGCTATGATGATGTTATTTACATTTCTGTTTTGATTTCGTTTGGTTTATGAAGACATTGCAGTCGTATACGCCCCCTCTCCCATTAATGCCAGCGGAAACCTCAGGCAGAACGCAGCAGAATTGAGTAAAAAATGCAAGGCAAAAGTTTTTCTTATTGCTGCCTGTTGTTGTGTGTAAGTGTATGTGTGTTGTGTGTGTGTGTGTGTGTGGGTGTGTGTGAATTTTTTCTGTTTGTTTTGTTTTGGTTGCAATTCGTAGACTTTTGACTTGTGCTGGCATCTCTGTGTGCCCAGGCAAATGAACCAGCAGCAGGACGACAACCTCAAAAGTCAACTTATACCAAGGCCCAAACCCTGCCTCCTCCCACCATCCTGTTGAGACGTGCCAGTGAGCTGTGTGCACTTGCATTTATGAATGTTTAAGCACTCGAAACTACAGCAAGTTCCACCAAAAGGAGCAGCAGCACAATTGAAAAATTCAGAAGCCCACCAGAGAAATACATAAACGAGTGAATGCGAAGAAAAGATACAAAGAAGTTGTGTGCGCATATGTGTGTATGTATGGCTGTGTGTGCTTAAACCCTAATGATGGCTAATTATTACAAGTCGCATACAATCACTTGTAAGGCCACACACTAGTCAATTTTTATATTGTTGTGCATAAATGCTTTTAAACTAAATTAGATTCTTGGGATTAACCATATTTGTTAGTCATGAGATATTTATGAGAGACTAAAAACCAAAAATGGCATAGAGTTTTTGCAGCCTCATATTGTGAACTCTTACTATGAGGACATTGATTGAAAGTATGCCAAAAAGCGGTAGCTATGCAATAAAATATACTTCATTCGCATACATATACAAAAACATGATACCATTTTGGGCATATTCAATAAGTTCGAGGTATACAGGTATGTTAGCAATATGTATAATTGCAGGGTATCTTAAGGCTGAGCATACCTGGTCGAATATTGAATATTTTAAAATCTTCGGAAATTCAATTTTTAATTATGGCAAAGTTAATCGAGCGTACACAGTTAATTGCTAATTGCAAGTTTGCCCATCAATTAAAACTCTTTTTAGAACTTCCCGGCCAACTTTAATGTATATATCTATCAGAGATTTTTAAAATGATTTTTAAACTGTTCAAATGCACATTGGCCTGCAGCTCGTGGGGGCTGGGCTGTGTCCAAACAAGATTCTGTTTACATTGCGGCATAAAAAATATATATAAAAAAAAATCTTGACATAACACAGAAAACTTTATTTATCTCTTTAATGCAGCGATATTTGTTTGTCTTTTTCTTTTGGCAACGCGCATATTTTAATTTACCAGCAAACAACTTAAATAAAGCAAACGAAAACTTTATTAAAATGTATATGAAGTTTACATAAGCACACATACGTGTGCATGATTCTAGAGGGGGGAGTGTGGCAGGGGGGGGGGGGGGGGGCATGTTGACCAGTGGCTCGTGTGCTGACCAGCAAACGTTTATAATTATTTGCATAAATATATGCAAATCGTTGGCAAAAACAGCCAACAGCAAAGTCAAAATGCAATTCGCAGCTGCACATTTGCTTTGCTTTGCCGTGTTACCTGTGGCCCCTCCACAACTCTATCCTCATTTTTTCAAATGTACCTAATTTTTGACTTTATATTAATTTCTTAAAAGGCTTAAATTTAATATATATAATATTGTAAGTTACACACAATTCAATCTAAACCAAAAAGAACGAAGACATCCTATCTTAAACACGACTTGCAGTTGACTTAATGATGCTCAATAAGAGTTCAAGTTATATTTTAAGATGTTAACAGAGCTGAAATACAAAATCAAAGTATAAAACTGAGCGTCAAACAAATGGCATTAATCAGAAAAAAAAATCACTTTAGTTTCATTGGAAATGGGAATACATATTTTCAGCAAAATGCTGCGAGCATTTAAGCCAACAAATGTTGCAATTATTTGCATTTATTTTGTTTTGTTTTTTTTTTTTTGGTATATCTGTAACATTATACTCAGTTTTGATATTTTTTCTGGCCATGCAACAGCAACAATCGCAATGTTAATTACAATAACACAGAGCGCACGAGCTGTAACACAACTTTTTTATGCCAAAAAGTAGTCGAATGTAAAAAATTTTGCGGGAGGCAATTGAATATGCAGCTGCTGCCCTGCCGGCCCTCCGCCACCCTCCCGCACAACTGGAGTACATTGAGCTGTTTGTTTTATGTGGCAGAGTGAAAAATCTCAACACAATATCAAATGCATGTGTACACATTGCGCGTTTAGTTCGCTTTTCTTTTATTATTATCACTTTTTTTTTGTGTCCTGTCTGGGCGAACAATGAAGAGCTGGCAAAAAAAAATGTTATATATATATATATATATATATATATATATATATGTATACACATGCATTGCACACAAAAAACAGATTTGCGCAAACAAAATACATGGTAGAGGCTGGCTGCTGTGATGGGTTAAAAAACTGCAAGCAGACAAATTAAAACTAAGCGCTTCATGTACAAACAACTCTCCCCGGAGGGGGCAAGGGTGTGGGCGAGCAACACTCGACCCAATGGCAGGCACTCGACCATTTGCTCCATTTAGTTCCACACACACACACACACACACACACACACACACACACACACACACACACATACTCATTGAACTGTGCGCTTGGTTGTTTATTCATAGTGCTGCTCAAACTGTATGAGATACCACACAATGTGGCAACTCAATTTTTGATCATTTCATTTCCCAAAACAATTTGATTTCTTTATCTAAATCGATTTTTCAAAATTTGTAACAATTATTTCAAACGTCTTTGAAGACTTGAGAACACATTATTATGGGTTTCTGCTTAAGTTAGATCTTTTAAAGCTAATAAGAGTGCGCTGCTCGAGAAATACCCTGTAAAAAGGTGCATTTATTATGTGGAATGCAGCGCTATATGCAAGATTAATTACTATTCTCACTTTATATATTATCAAAAAACATATATTTTTTAAATTATAATACCTATGTATATCAGTACTTCGATTGTAGACTAACTTCTAATTGGGAATAAATTCCGATTTTTTTTAAGTCCCATTAGTACCAAACATAAATAAAGGATATTGCGACCTACCTACGAGCCGAATCATCTAAACACCCTACAGTATTAGACCATGTTCTCAAAACTCTTCCTTCTAAATAAATAATAATAATTAATGCCCCATTCTCAAACCCAAACTATTTGTAATATATTAACGTCCAATTGTAAATTGCAAATGTTGTTAACTAGAGTTAATGCACGTTTCTTATTTCTGTTTCATAGTTAAATTACCTCTGATCTGTGTGATATATATTGATATATCATATATCACGCCATATTTTTGGGCCCTTTACAACACTTGTATGACTATGGGCATACAATTTGCTTTACTTATAAATGTTTTATAATCAACAATTGCCGAAACGGGCCCCTGTTTGATATCCTTATACACACGCGCCTCCATAAATACGAGCGAGTTGAATGTTAATGTAATTGAGTCGATATACATTTGTGGAACACACCGAAGCACAAATTTTCTCAATTTATTTCTAGTTTTCATGTACATAGAGCCAAAGTGTGTGCGTGTGTGTGCATTATTCATTCCGTTGGCGGGAGATTTACAATTTCTACAATTTCAACAATATTTTTGATTGCCGGAACCCGCGACTGTTGCTCCGATAATAAAATAAATCAAATCCGTTCAGGCAAACAGCCCGCGGATACATTTACCCGCGACCCCTCACCGTGAGCGTGTGTGTGCTTTTTAGTTATTTCTATGTGGATAGGGATTTTGGTTTGTTGTTGTTGCAGGTTGTTCGTGTGCAGCAGGGTTTACTGTACGGCGTATTCTTAATTAAATGTGCGCTGCAAATTTACACAATCAAATTGCATTGCCATATAATACCCATTCTCTATTAAACCGCTTTTCCTCATCCTTTTTTTTCTCTCTCTCTCTCTCTCTCAATTGCAGCATGCCTGTGGGTTTGGATGTTGGCTGTTGCCGCGGATGAATCGCTGGACACACGCGAAGGCGTCGATCTGGTGCTCAAGTGCCGTTTCACCGAGCATTATGATTCAACTGACTTCACCTTCTACTGGGCACGTTGGACCTGCTGCCCCACATTGTTCGAGAATGTGGCCATTGGCGATGTGCAGCTTAACTCGAATTATCGGTAAGTTGTGTAAGAGAGAGTGTGTGCGTGTGTATGCTTGTGTACTTGTGTGTGTATTGTACTGCGTGTCCCTTGGCCAGCCGTCTGTGTGTCCTGTGTGCAATGGTCTGATAAATCACAGCCAGCCTCCATAAATTCAACACTGATGGCCTGTCAATAAGCAGGCGAAAAGTTAAAGGCCGTCTGCGTGTTGGGCTTGGGGGCGTGTGGCTGCCGGAAGTCTGCTGCTGCACATTTATTTAATTGCCTGCCTGACATCGACACTCAACTGCCCAAGGAACGAGAATTACAATCACCCCTCCCCCCCCCCCCACCGCTCCGCCATTATGGCCTGCTCTATCGCATATTTATTGATAAAAGATGAAAGATGCGAAAGTTTCGCGATGCGTTCAGCTGTTAAATTTATTAAAATTGCCAATGGCTGTAAGGATGACGACAGGGACAACGCCATCATCAACATCGATGGCATCGTCGCCGTTGTTGTGTACATCATTAAATGTTCATCTGGCAGGCGATAATTCATAGCCAGCCACGCCTAGAAATATGAATGGGCGTGCACACAAGCACCGCATGCAGTGTAAACAAGATGAGATTCCCTGTGCTAATACTCCAAGGTTTGCCAGGGAGCTGTTGGGGCTTCTGCAGGGTCAAAGGTTTTGGGTTGGGTTCGAATGGCATAAGGATAACGTGGCCATCAGAAGCAGCTGTGCGCGCTGCTGTGTGCCGTAAGCATAAGCGAAATTATTATTATACCATTTCGTTAAAACAATGGGAGTAATACGCAAAATAAATTGTTTCTACAAAATTGACCAGAAGAGAAAGCGAAGAAAACCCGATTAAATAAAAGAAAATACGATTCAAATAATAATTTTGAAGAGAAAAAATAGCGAATGCTCTCAAATTATCATCATATATCAACCAAACATAGAAGATAACTGTAATCATAATAATTAATATACTGTCTGCAAATTAATACTCTACATTGCACAGGAAATGTTGATTATAAATTATTTCACAAATATATATATATATTGTATATGCAATAATACATAATTATATATTATACATAATACTTTTATCATAATAAATTATTATCAATATTTCTTATTATATCATATTTTTTTATTTACTTTTCAAAAATGTTAAAGTTTATTTTATTATAATCATTTATAACTTTTTATATTTTTTATTGTTTATTAATAACTAATAGGCGTATATTTATTTTAAATGCACATTATGAATATTACCCAATATGGTAAAAATATTAACTGAAATTCAAATTAGCATCAGTTTTCTTTGCACAATTTGAGCAATTCGTGCCATTGTTTATAATTGGCAACACATTGCGTATACGCAACTTGATTAAGGCGCCGAAAAGCTCGTCAAGCATTGAAGGCCTTTTAAATGGCTGTTTGGAAAATGTGGCGAATTTTCTTATTGTTGTTGTTGCTGTTGTTGTTGCTGCATATTGTGCTGCTTGGCCGCCCTGCCTATTTATTTATTAATCATAATAATCATTTTGCAGAGCATTTTAAGCGTGAAAAACATTCAATGCGGCGTATGCCGCAAATCGTTTGGAAAATGTTCAACAGTACACGCCCACAAGAAGAGACAATCACGCACTAAAGAGACAAGCGCACACAGACCCATTCATTGGCCACATGATATATTTATATACATATATATATATATAACCATGTATATACATATATATAATATGGGTAGGAGCAGCCGCTAAACATGCAAAAACAGCAAACAGATCGGCAACAAAAGAAAATTATTGTAAAATTTTGCTAATCGCGCGTTAAACAATTTGCTTGATTTATGTGAGCTTAGAGACTGGGCTAATGGCGTTGCCACAAAACACAACAAGAACAACTACAACGGATGCGCATTATGGTAACAACAAAAGTTGCGGAGTGTAGAATATAAGATACCCTGTATACGCATAGCATTTCAAAATAGAAATAGTTAAGAACATAAGTATTAATTATCTCATAATTTAGCTGGCCCGAGATCCGCGGCTTAGTTTATTAAAATCATAATCTATATTCTTCATATATGTGATGAATAAAAAATATCATAATGTAAATATTTATATAGATAATATTTTAGTAATATAGAGTTATAGTTACACATGGTTATAGTTATATATAGTAATATATTGTAGTTGTACCTTGAAAGCAATTCTGCTTGTATATTACACATAAGGCTGTTTGATATCGGCAATGGACTCTATACACTATAAATACTTATACTCTTTTTAATCAAATTTACTTATGTCTTAATGATTTTTGTTACCAGAATTATATCTAAGAGATTATTATTAAAGATAGAGAAAATATATAAGTAATGAGCCCACCTTTCGTCTAATATTTGTGGTTTTATGAAAATTACCAAAAATATTTTAAACATTTAAAATTAAAATTCATTAATGTTAATCTATAATCTTTTGAATTATCTATCTATATTTGTTTATAATATCAGGATATTAAAAATATATTTTAATTTTTTCTTTCTAATTTCTTAATTTTAATTTTGTTGGATTTACAAGCGTTATTTAAAAGGTTTTACCAGGCATGAAGAAGGCGTTGATCACAAAAAAATACATCACAGCTTAAAAACCAAATGTACAGGGTATCAAAATGGCTTGCTGCATTTTGAGTATAATTTTGTTGATGGCTTTGCAATTTTTTGCACATTTTAGTCACACGTTGGCAACAAAGAGTAATTGATTTGATCTCTGGGCTCTATTGCAAAAACATTTATTCAAGATTTCAGCATAAAGTTTGTGATATATGGTCGCAATATAGTTTAATACCTTCACTTTCATGTTTGCAGCTGCACAAAGTTCATGCGTCCGCAAAAGCAATTAAGTTGAAACATAATCACTTGAAAGCTGCTTTGAAATGCAAAAATGTTCTAATGCCAAATAAAATGTGAAGCATTCAATCAACGCAGGCTCGTTGACTGCTAAACTGCTAGTGGATGATGATGGATGCCAGCTGCTTGGCTCGACAAGCTGACCCCAAAAAAAGAGGGAGAGAGAAAAAATGAAAAAGGTACGGTACGGCATGTGCGGCCCGTTTCAGTGTCCATTTGCACTTTGTCCTCTTCAAAAATGTTGTCATCTAGATGACATGAAATTTGCTTTAACAACGCATTCACATCCACATTGGAGCATTGTGCTCCACCTCTTCAGCTGTCAGATCCCATTCAAGTTGTTTTTTTTTCTTTTTCATTTTTTGGAGGTAGCCTGTTTTTTTTTTTTGCCATGATATTGGAATTTTGTGTTCGAGTGCCGCCAACATTTCGGAAACAATCAAAAAAACATTTTTTTCGTTCTTTTCTTGGTGCAGATAAAAATTGTTCGACAGCAAGCGGACTTTTCAATTGCGTTAAGAGAAATTTAATATGAAATTCATGTTGTACTTGTTACATATCGATTTTTAATTTTGATTTTCGGGCGCGAGCGTTCAATTTTGAAAGACAGCCAGCAGGGAGCGCTGTTTGGCGTCTTTGTTGTGGTTGCCCGTGAAATATTTGTATTTTGTATTTTATTTTTTGGTTGCTGAAAACCAAAAATAAAACCAAACCCAGCTGGGCGTGGAGGCGGTGCTCTCCACATAACATCAGTCGAAAAATTGCCAGGCATTGGCATGAACTGTATCATCTGTTTGATGCCTTACATTTGTGTACACTCCTTATTGGAGATATGTTGATTTAGTCATGAGTTTTGATACAAACATCGCGGAATGACGCTTAGAAGCGGACATCTCCTACCCCAGAAAGTGAATATATTCTTGATCAGTATCAACAGCCTAGTCGGTCAGTCTCAAGGGTATCGTCACGAAACTTTGCATAGGTCCGTCTTTCTGTTGCAGGCAGTATATGTATATGTCGGAACCGGCAGGATCGGATAACTATATCATATAGCTACAATAGAAATAATCGGTCGAGAAGTAGGCTCTTATGTGGAGAACTTTTTGCTTGTCAAGATATGCTATCCAAACTCAGCCTTTATTATTTATACCGTGCTCCTGATATATATCTTCAAAATCTTATCAGCGCACCACTATATCATAAATTTACCATACAAAAGATCGGTGGAAGAGTTATTTTTAGTCGATTTAGCTATTTATTAGTTCCAATATGATCCCCACTATATCATATAGCTGCTATTCTCACATATCTGCAAAAGGGAAATGTCTGCAAGGATATTAAATCTTCTTTTTCTTGTACCGAAGATGTCCGCAGTCTCTCGTTTGTATATTACTTTATTCTTTAATTAAATCCTTTAAGATGATTCTTATCAATATTAATTTTATGCTGATTCATTTTATCTAAATCGCAAATCCCAGACCCAAATCTTTTCTAGTTTAATAGCAAAGAAAAACATAATTAAGCTCTTAGTTATGCGAAATCTATTCAAGCAAGAGCACTCAAAATTCGTTGTTGTTCTTGTTAAATCGACTTTAAGCAATTTCTTGTAGTCGCTGTAGCCTTTTATTGTGGCTGTCGTTGTTTTTGTTGCTGCTGCCGAATGCCAGGCCAAGCTGACACATTTCCCTATTTTGTGATGGATGTGCGCAATAATTTTTGCTATTTATGCAAAAATTCGGCTGTTATCAATAGCGGAGCCCGGCCCGACAAAAGGGCGTCCCATGCCTCTATTTCTATATCTCTTTTATGCGAATGCGGGTCAAAATTTAACCTTTACCTTGTGCACACTCACACACATGAACAGAGACAAACGCATAGATCAAAATATGTGGCAACACGTGTTGGTTCCGATTCGTTTGACTTGTGCTACCCCCATACACACACGCACACATATACAGGCACACATATATATATATACATATACACGCGCACACATGTCGCGACAGGGGCGTAACATCTATCAGCGCCATGAGAATATGTATATATATATATTTATATACATGTTTGTATCTGTGTACACTCCGAGAAAAATAACGAACTGAATTCAAGTTTAATCT